TGTCAGATCGACACAAACAATACTATATATGTTTTGGTGTGCCATTGGATTTTAGTAATTCGTTTATGTGTGCCATGAGATGAAAAAGGTTGAAAATCGCTGCCCTGGAAAGATGTGCTCTCTTCTCGTGCTGTCTGGGAGTGTTAGGGTGTCTGAGATCTGGACCGGGAGCGCCCCCTTGCGGTTACCATGGAGACGGGGGTTTCGTTAAGTGGCCGTGGATGCGGAGCCCTTGCCCTGGCACCAAGTCCGCGTCTGAGGATTTCGAGGTTCAGGGTTGGGTCATCCGCCCCGGGTATTCCCGCCGTCCCTAGCCTGGGCCTCTTGGGTGGCCGGTGGCTCCAAGGCCGTTTTGGGAAGGATGCGGGGCTGGCACACAATGCAAAGAAGGGGGTGGGGGGTGGGGGTAAAGAGAGAGTCATTTGAGTCTAGGGTCTCCTCCCTGACAGTCTCACTTCCTAGCTGTGAAGAAGAGATGATGAAAACTATCCCTTGGAGCCTGGCATCCAGGCAGCCTTGGGGACGGACTAGGGCAGAGGCTGGGCTCTCAGGAGGGTGCCAGTTTTCCGAATAAAGCATCGCCTGGTGGGAGACTGGAGGGGGGAGTGGGGGTGGTGGGGGTGGAATCATTACCTTTAATGTCTTGATTAGAACATAAAACACGACTTGACCACAACACCGAAAATAGATGAGAATTTCGGCCCACTGCTTCTAACCCCTATTTATAAAAATGGTCTTTAGTTGGCTAAAAATAATTCAGGATACTAACAAAATCCAAGCATTCTATTAAGTGTTTTTCTTTTATTGATTTCAGAAAGGGAGGGAGTGGGAGAGAAAGACAATGATGAGAATCATTGATCAGCTGCCTCTTGCACACTCCGCACTGGGGGTATGGAGCCCACAACCCGGCATATGCCCTGACTGGGATTTGAACTCTGACTTTATGGTTCATAGATTGACGCTCAACCACCGAACCATGCCAGCAGGGCTTAAGTATTTTTCTTATCTGGTTAGGTTCCAGGTGCATTCAAGAAGTATATTTGCATTTTGTCAACAGTTTATTTTAAAGTAATTTAATCTGTTTAATTCCCAGCTTCATTCCAAATGGGAATGGAGGCAGCAACAGTTTCTTGCCTTCTGACGCGTGCCAGGCGCTGGAGGCAGAGAGGTGACTCAGACAGGGCTGGGTCTGGGGGATGAATGCGGTTGTGTCTGGGCCACAAGCAATCCTGGCCTTGGTGGGTAGACCATGTGTTGTACTTGGGGAGTACTTCATTCTCTGGTCAACCACACAGCTGAGCTATTGCCTGGAGGAAGATGTGGTCCATAAAAGCTGGGGTGGGATGGGGAGGGAACTGGCCCTTCATTTTATCTCGGCTCCCAGTAAAGAGGTTTACTTCTTGTAGCCTCACAAATAGGTGTAACCGGACAATCAATGGGTCCATGCTGCCTGTCCCTACTTGAGCCAATTAAGCAGAGACAGGGTTGAATCATATATTAACACGAGAGTCCCGGTGCCCTGGGTATCAGTGGGGTCCCTTGGCCTGGCCTGAGGGATTGGGCTGAAACTGGCTCTCCGACATCCCCTGAGGGATCCCAGATTGCGAGAGGGTGGTTCTCCGGTGATGTACCCTGGAATGAGGTTCCCTCCTCTCTGGTTCTGGGTGTATCATCTGAGAACTGCGGCTGCCAAGTCACCGCAGCTCGGCAGCTCCTGCACTGAGCATCTGCCCCTGCTGGTCATTGTGTGTCATAGCTACCGGTTGGACAGTTGGACGGTTGCTTAGGCTTTTATATATATAGATTCATTCTAATACTGCTGGCAGTATGAGAGAACACCAGGTCATCCGCAAATCTGTTCTGAAGCCCCCCATAAGCCTGTTGCTTATGCAGTAGATCCTCGGGTTACATCGGAAATCTGTTCCTACAGCACAACATAATGCGATTTTCACCCTAAGTCAGAACTCACCTACATAAGCACCTACGTCACATGGAGCACATACACAGCAGTAATGAAGTGAAATAGTAAAAACAATTTAAGAAAAAGATAACAATTCCTGACCTTTACTTGTGGTAAATAAATAATAAAAAACATAAAGCACATATGTACATGTTGAAATGATGGAACTTTTTTTTTTTTTTTAATAAATAAATGGGAGATTGCAATGTAACCATGAAATGACATCTGTTGAGTCCAAGGTAATCTGAGGACTGCTGGTATAGGGTAGGAAAAGGATTACATGGGGAAGTAGGGATTACAGGCATGGGGAAGTAGGAGGCTGGTGTGGGACTCCATTGTTTGGGCAACAAGGTTGTCAATCAATCTTTCTATGATAATAGGCAATTCTTGAAATGAGAATGGACTGCATTCCAAGGTTGACTCCCAGGTCCAAGGTTGACTCCCAGGTCTCAGGGGCATACAACCCCCAGCCAGTTTAAAATGTCCTTTCTTTATCCAAAAAGGCAATTGTGGTTAACAGAGCATGATTAATTATGTCCCATAACCAGCCCTAGCCGGTTTGGCTCAATGAATAGAGCATCAGCCTGCAGACTGAAGGGTCCCGGGTTCGATTCTGGGCAAAGACACATGCCCAGGTTGTGGGCTTGATTCCCAGTAGGGGGCACATAGGAGGCAGCCAATCAATGATTCTCTCTCATCGATGTTTCTATCTCTCTCTCTCTCTTTCCCTCTCCCTTTCTCTCTGAAATTAATGAAAATATATTTAAAAAAATATTTCCCATAACCATAACTAGTCTCCAATATTCTATTTTTGCTCCTAAGAGGTCTAGTCAGTTTGGCTCAGTGGATAGAGTGTCAGCCTGCAGACCAAAGGGTCCGGGGTTCGGTTCCAGTCAAGGGCATGTCTCTGTCTTTCCCTCTCTTTTCCACTCTCCCTAAATATCAATGGAAAAAATATTCTCAGGTGAGGCTTAACAACAACAAAAATGCTGCCCGTAACAAAGCGTTAGGATAGATAAAGGGGATGAGAGGAATAGGATCAAGAGAAAACCAGAATGGGGAGAATGTTGCCTAATGCCAATTTATCTTTATTTCCTAACCAAATTTGACCCTTTGGTGTGTGTGGATCTTCCACCCCCCCACCCCACAGGAATGTCTGTGGCCTCCCTAGGGAGGGAGGGCCTTTCAGTCCCTGGCCTGAGGTACGTCCTTCTGACCGTGACTCAGAGTGGACACGCTGTGTCCTCTGCACGCCTTTAGAAAAGCGGGCGCTGTCTCAGCTCTGCAGCCTGTTTTCAGAGCTGTCAGTCGCCAGCCTGGGCAGTGAGCTGTGGTGGAGGGAAATACGATGGAGGGTGTGGAGGTTAGAAAGGGAGCAGGAACTTTGCTGGGGCATCCCTGACACTCAACCATATGGTGACGTGAGTAAAAACCAGGGAGAAACACTTTCTTTTCCCCAATGCCCTCAAGTCCTCCCTCTATCCTGAGCTCCAAGAACCCGTTCTTTTTTACTGGAGTTGAACTCCAGTACAAAGGAAGAAATGCAAATGCCCCTTAAATGCCTGGTCAGAAAAGCCGATTAACATGGCCATGAGCGATGGAGCAGTTTGGCAACTTTAAATGAGCATCATCTAGCAGTTCTGATTCTAGGAGTGTATCTTTAGGAAACAGTTGAGTCAAGATAAATGTGTGAGGATATCTTTGAATCACTGATTATAAAAGAAGTCACTCGGAAGGAGATTGGATAATAAATTATGGAGCATATCTAAGGCTGCAATGTCATAGGTTCAGGAGCCTAAGGAGACCGCAGCCTCATGATTTCTTTAGTGTTTCACCAACACCCATGTGGTCCTGGCCTCCTGTCAGCCCCTGACATTCACGGTAAAAACCTCTGACTTCCCCTGCTATGGGGGCTAGGGAGGATTTTGTGAGGAGCTCTAGTGGAGGAGAAGCAGAGAGAGGGGGTGGGGTTGGCCCAGACAAAGGAGGGAGCAATGAAGAAGAGCATGGTGGTTGGATTCAAGTGCAAATATACAAAACAAAGCAGGGAGGAAGACTGTGGTGAGAAGTTGTGTGATCTTAGCTCCTCCTCGCCTCTGAGCTTCCTGTTCCAAACAGAGATACTATTGTCCAGTTCACAAGGGTGTACGTTTGACAAGAGCATTGGTTTCGTCAGACCTGAATTTGAGTCTCAGGTACCAGCTGTGTGGCCATATGCAAGTCAGTTAATGAGAGATTGTAGCATTTATTGAGTGCTTGCTGTGTGGCAGGCGTCCTCAAACTTTTTAAAGTGGGGGCCAGATCACGGTCCCTCAGAGAGCTGGAGGGCCGGACTATATGAACTACTAATTCCTACTGTAACACCTCGGCTGCGTTCACTGCCCAAAAAATCTGGCGGGCCGGATCAGACTCCTCTGCGGGCCGCATGTGGCCCGCGGGCCGTAGTTTGAAGACACCTGCGTGTGGTAACCAATAGAATCCTCCCCAGCCTAGGGTACTTACTGTTATCTTCATTCCAGTCTACAGGGGCTGAGAACAGAAACGTGGAGAGAAGGAGACACTTGTCCGAGGTCCCAGCCAGGATTTCTGTAACCATCACATTACCTTAACTTTCCTGCGTGGAAAACTGAGATAACAATAAAACCACAATTCCCTGTGTGATTGGAAGGATTCAAGAAGAGGCCTGGCAAAGAGTAGGTGCTTATTAAATTATTATTAAAACTGTTATTATATTCTTTGCATTTTCCCGAGTTTTTGAAGGGAGCAGACATCACTTGCATAAATCCTTTGCTTAAAAAAAAAAAAAAAAAAAAAAAAAAAAAGACCTCAGGTGAGGGGGTAGATACTGCAGCTGCCAAGTTCCCCGAGGTTATCTGGAGCGTGACAATAGGGGCGTGGCTTAGAGGGAGGGGCGGGGCCAAGAAGGAGGGCCAGGCTGGAGGGGCGGGGCTAGGGCCCGGGAGCTCAGGCTGGGGGCGGGGCCTAGGGGGAAGGGGCGGAGCACAGGCCGGCGGCGCATGCTCTGTGGGACGGCCCACTCCGCCGCCGCCGCTGCCGCCGGCGCCACCGCCCACTCCGGGCTGACTCGCAGCGGTCGTGCGGGGCTCAGACCACGGCCCGGGTGGACGAGCGCACGGCCATGGCCCCGTGGCTGCAGCTCTGCTCCGTCTTCTTCACTGTCAACGCCTGTCTGAACGGCTCGCAGCTGGCCGTGGCGGCGGGCGGCCCCGGCAGAGCGCGGGGCGCGGACACCTGTGGCTGGAGGGTAAGGAGCAGAGCGAGCGGCTTCCTCGCGGTCCCCGAAGGCGCGGCGGGCGCGGTGCGCGCAGGTGCTCGCGGGGCGGGCGGCGGAGTTGGCGCGGACTTGCTTGCTTTCTGCGGGATCCGCTGCCGGGCTGGGGTCCCCCCGCGGCTCCAGACATACCTCCCTCCCTCTCGGGGCTCGCGTCCGCCAGCCCCAGCTCCGATGAGAGAGTCCGCAGACCCCCCGCTTTGTGTTGCTAATGAGACGCGGCCACGGGCTCGGGTCCCGCGCCCGGAGGCGGGCGAGTGGGGCGCCCGGCGGCGGCGGGTGGGAGAAGGGTGACCCCCATCTTTTGTTCCTGGTCCGGGACCTCCGACGCCTCAGGGTAGTGCTCCCCGGAGCTGGGACCCTCCGAGCTGTCGGGACGTAGGGCGCTATCCTGGGCGGGAGCGGGCGTCTTCCCCCGATCGCTGGTCCATCCGGGCTCCGCAGACTCCCGGGACCGCCCGGAGCGGACCCGGGGCGCCGGGGAGGGATGCGCCCCCGCTCGCGCCCGCTTTGTTCCTTCCAGTCCCGCCCTCTCACTCCACGTCCACACCACCCCGACTCCTGGCTCGCTGGGTTCCCCATCCACCCCTTCCTCTGTGAATTGTCTCGCGGATGCTTCCCAGCCCCACTCCACGCCCCAGCTTGAACTGGGGATATTTTTCTTCATCGCCAAAGGGAGGCAGGGGTTTGTCATCTGGGTCAGGTGTCCGGGACGGCCCTGGGGAGGCGCGCGCCGAGCGCTTGGAGCCCCGTCCCAGGCGAGCGGCGCTGACTGGGCGGCCGGGCACGGGGTGAGGCTCGGGTTCCGGAGACTGTCTGCATCCATCTGCTCCGGGAGAACTTCCCGCGGAAGCCAGGGCGCTCACAGCCTTCAGCCTTGTGTAGAGGACACGGGCTGGGCTTTGTGCTCAGGCAGCTCTGCTCCTGTGCAGCCATGAGCCTCAATGTCTTCACCAGGAAAGTGGGAGGAAGTGGGGATTTCCTACTTTCCCCAGCGCTGTTGCTCCGAGGGATGGGTTGACCCACGTGTTCTGGAGTGCCCCTCAGCACCATCAGAGTCTAAGCCCTGACCCCCCCTTTAGGGCCACGGGTGGATGCCTCTGGCTCACTTGCCCCACATCCTGAGAAACACAGCATGGGAGACCAGGTGTGAGCCAGGCAGCTGGGATGTCTGTGAGACAGACAGCCATGGCCCACCATCCCACAACCCCGCGGTAAATATAAAGCCTCCTTCCCGCTAGAGTAAAACATGGCGTTTCTTTACTCCCATTTTACCAAAACGTCACTTGTGTTTCTATTTAAAGAGAGACAGATACCAAGTTTTCTTCGGTTTTCAGGTGTAAGTTTTCCTGAAAGCTATCTCATGTTGACCCTCCTCGGTGTTTTGGATCTGGACTGACAGGTTGGCTCTGGAATAACTGTAACAGCATCCCCGGCATTTTATGCCCGGATTTCGTATGACGGCATAGGCGAACCAGTCCAAGTTCCTGTTTTCCCGCCATGGCCCAAGTGGCTTCGTGTGTCAGGACACAAAGCTTGTGTGAAGTTTCAATGCAGTGGGGAGCAGAGCCTGGGTGGTTTGTTCTCTCTTCCTGCGGGAATGTGTTCTCGTCCCCTCAGCCTGCACCCCCACAGAATTAATGGGGTGCCTTTTCCTCAGGGCCTTGCATTTGTGCTGAGCCCTCTCCCACCACAACTTCTCCTTGGGGCTCCACCAGTCCTTTCCTTGGGCCATCTTCATCCCCTTCATGAATGAGCACGGGGCCTCTGGGCCATCTCCAGGGTCTAGGCTCTTCCCTCTGGGACTTGCCTTTGGGTGCATGTGATGGAGCCACCAGCTTGTCTGCCTGCCTTGTCTATCCAGCTAGCTGCCCAGCCCCTCTCACCCAGCTTCCTAGCTCCTGTGCCCTTTTTGCTGCGAAGGCATCCTGGGATGCCTGCTTCTCTGAGAACCTGTTTGGCCTAAGTCTCAGGTCAGGTGATGCCTCCCCTGAGAAGGCCTCCCAGAATGCCACTCCCCCTGCCTTGCCTTCTCACCAGACTACATCGTCTGCATTTATTTGTTCACATCTGCATCTTCAGGCCAGTTTCCGGCAGGCACGTAACCTCATGGGGCGGCCTCAGAGCCTGGGGCCCCGGACATCTTGGCTGAAGCCAGTTAGACCCTGCTAAGTGCTGTGCACAGTGATAGATTTTAAGAAGCAGGGGAGAGATCAGAGCACCAGGCTCCAGTGTCCTCTGCACAGCAGGCTCATGCACATGCTCTTCCTGCTGGTGTTCCCTCCTTTTACACCTCAGCCTCCCTCTCAGCTCCAGCATCACTTCCTGCTCGAAGCCTTCCCCGCTCCCACCTCTCTAGCCAGGTTCTTCCAGAAGTTGGTGCCCAAGGACTGGCCAGTAAGTGCTGGTGTACAGGGACCTGAGAATTTGACTCATGTCTGAGTCTCCTACCGGGTCGTGGGTGTTCAGGCCATAAACAGATGTGGGTCTCCGTTATGAGGTTGCTTACAGTGTGGCTGGGGCTATGTGACCATACAAGACGAAGGGTCGACTGTGGGTGATGCAAACAGGAGCGGGCTTCCCATGGCGGGTCCAGGCCACACAGAACCTTCGAAGGGGACAGCGGGGTGGAGAGAGCCTGGAGGAGGGGCCGGACCTGGGTGCTGGAGAGGAGCTCAGCGGATAGCCCTCTTGATCTCCAGGAAGCATTTGTTCCAGGAACTCTGGCCCTGCAGGAATGTGTATTTTCCCAGGACTTGTAAGGTGGCTGCAGCCAGCTCGCCCTCCCTTGGCAGCTCTGCTAACACGCCCTTCAGGGCTGCCCTCAGAGGAGCCGGCCTGGGTGACGTGGTCAGATTTCACAACCTCCCCATTATTAGCGGTGCAATTAAGGGCCGATACCATCTCGAACACAGCTCAGTGTTTTAGAAATGAGTTATGGGCACACTTCCTCCGCTACTTAAAAAAAAAAAAAAAAACAAATCTTGTAGGGCCCTTGCCAGGTAGAGTTGCTCTTTGAGTAGTGAAGACACTTTCCCCAAAAGTACCAATTTGCAAGCTTGTAGCAGGGAAGTTTTGCATCGTGCTTTTTGATAAGGAGATGGGCTTGTTTGTGTTGGGTAACTTTCTGTCAATGGCTCCAGCTGAGGTTTTTCCTCCCCTTTTGTCTTGCTGAGGGTCTGAGGGGCCTGTTTATGGAGCGGACAATCAGGGGTCTGCTTGTGCAGGTTTTTATTTCAGTGGCTTCCCCTGCAGTGGGGGAGGAGAAGCATAGCTTACCTTCCTGCCTGAATGGTGGTTCCCACGCCTTCTCTGGCCTCTTAGCCAGGAACACAACTTCTAGCCCCAAAACCTGCGCTGCTTCAGGAATCCGGGAAGCTAGAATGCTGGCATTGTCTTTACAGTGAAGTGCAAGTTTCCCATTTAAGGCAAATCCTTCATCTCAAAAGGTAGGAAGAAATGGGGTGGTACTTGGAAAAGAAGAGGTTCCCAGCTGGTTAAAATTTAGGTCCCCGATAAACTCCGATCCAAGAACTCTGCTTGGCTGTGGGCCCGGGCGTGTTTATTTGATTCTGAATTGGATGCGTTTTCATTCACTTGCAGCCTGGGGCTCCCCCAGCCCCGCATCTGGCCTGCCTGTTGGCCATGTTGTCCGTGTTCTGCATGCTCGTGTGTCCCTTACCGCGTTCCTGGTGAGAAGGGACGCGGTGGCGTGGGACACGTTTTTCAGAGACGTTTTCATTCGGATGATACTTCTTCTGACCTGCCGGGCAGTGTTAAGTGGGAGCCCCCCTGCCCCACCCCTCCCTCCTCTCCCCACTCGACCCCGAGCCCCGGGGCATTGTGCTCCTTATTAACTCGGGAGGCGGCTGGGTGGATGCGACGGCAGCCACTTCCGAACAAGATTTCTCCACGTGAGCCCAGAGGCTCCCAGCACCAGGATTGCCTGGGAGCTGGTTAACATGCAGATTCAAGGAGAAGGGGACAAGAGTGGGTGTGAGGCGGGGCCCGGGAACTCGCATTGTAACAAGTTCCTCTGATGCTCCCTCAAGGGGGAGAGGCATTGCCTTAGGGGACAGGCTCCCAGGATCCGGAGGAAGGGGAGAGAAGCCACATGCTCCAAACATTTAAAGTCAGTTTGATTCCAAACCATTTCACTGGGCTTAGAGGCGAGAGTGGACTTTGCCAGAGCCCTGGACAGTGAAGGGGGTCAGGTGGACTGAGGGAGGACGAGGGGAGCCAGCTGGGCAGGGCACCCCAGTCTGAGTGGGCGCCTCTGGCCTGGGGGAAGGGGACCTGACACTCCCACCGGGGTTTCTCCCCAGAACAGCTGGGCTCGTCTGGAAAACAGTCTCAGGAAAGGCGAGCAGGATCCAAATCGTATTCTCAGCAGCAGCTCAAACCTCACAGACGCTTCCCTACAAAGGAAAAAACTGCTAATGCCTTTTTAAGTCTTTATTTTAAGTTGAGTATTTTTCAAGCTCCATTTGGCCTAAAATATGGTGTGTGTGTGTGTGTGTGTGTGTGTGTGTGTGTGTGTGTTTAACATTTCAAACCCTCTTTTCCCACATTGGCCACTAAACTTTTACATACCCTGCCCCAGCAGATGTCTGCTGCTGCCGCCGGGGCCAGCCCATCAGCAATTAATTGTCCTTTCATTCCCCCTCACTGCCTGTCGCGCCTGCCTCTGACGGATGGGTTTTCAGGCTTCCGGGAGCGTGGGCCCCCACCCTTGATTCCTAAGGTGGGAGCTTCTCTGGCCGGGGCCGGGGCAGGGGCAGCGCCTGCCACCCTCGCCTGGCCGCTGAGATCTTTTCCATGTTGCACTCGGAGGGTCTCCGTGCCTCCCGGGGGGCTGTCTGTGCCGGTGCTGCGGGGCCCCCTCTGCCCGCCGGCGGGGGCCATGCCCTCCTGGGCAGTGTTTGTCTTGGCCGCTGCGTCCTCCTGAATGGGGCTGCCACACGTTGAGGTAA